TTATCTAGTTCTACTTCATAATCAACAGATAATTGTTTAGCAATTATCTAGGTATTATCAGGCTTGATATTTCATCATAAACTCAGTAACAGTTCGTCAATAAGGTTCAAACCTACAACTTATTTACCGACTTAAATAAAATAATTCTGCACGAAGATTTGTATACCTTAGTTCCCAGAGATTTGGGCAACAAAAAATTGGGCGACCCTCTTGCCCAAATTTTCGCACATATATCAATAGCACATAAATTTTACGTCAAACAAACATTTTGTCAATCAAAATTTGAGCATTACGATTATGTTATTTTATATTTGTAGTTAAATGATCTTAAGCGTTACAAAGTAAACGACTAGGCTATTCATTATCGGTATGAAATCTTTTATCTAGATAAACAGATAACGATTCTGGTTTTGTCTAGATAAAACCGATAAAACCGATAATGTTTCTGCTGAAGGCACCACTTCCTTTCTTCTGAAAATACTGGAGCACCAGTTTTCTTATCCTGAGAAGTGAGAACAGGGGTGAACATTCTCCAGAAAACAATATAGCGCTAGTTTCCTTCTCCTGAGAGAAAGGTAAAAGATGGCTTATTTTTGGAGATGGCTTATTTTTTGGGCTATTTTTGGAGTTTGGACCAAAAAATAGTTTTTTACAAATAATTGTAATATAATCATGGTAGGGCTAGGCTTATTCTTTGATGCCTATTCATCGCGGTCAAGCCATAGATTGTTATAATTAGATGTCTCACAAATTTACCATATGCGTGATGTGTGACAATTGCAAATTTGATTCTTACCAAAAGAAAACCCCACGTTATAGAGGGGGAATACTGCAACTTACCGAGAAATTTTTTAAGTGAACAGCGTCCTTTCCAATTCATAGTACAGTAAGACTCCGATTTACCATGCTTGATTCAACGCCTAAACTTGAACTTTAGACAACAATGATTTATTTCGTTGCATGATAAAGAATACATGGTACTAATGAATCTCTACATCGATGGCTATTTAGTTGCATGCTTTCAATGAACTTCTAATTTCTGGCACAATAAAACTGTAAGCACGACCGAAACTTGTATCCTTGATGGTGTATTATAAACCATTCATATTAAAACGATGGTTTACAATATCGCCTTCATCCTTTTGTCACGTTTGCAAATCTGCTGTGATCTTTCTTGGGTCAGCTTCGGGCTAGTTCGCTAAGCCTAAAATATCGAGTATCTCTAGTCTCTACCGCCAACAGACTTTTTCCATTCATCTTTAGCATCATTCTAGACTGTCTGAATTGGTCACAAAGGAAGCGATCGACTGACACACTTGCAGTCGCTGAATGACCCCATTCGATTGATGGGACTTCTAAAACTCCCCTTGTGAAATGTGTACCCGATGGTAACCGATGGTGCCCTAATGGCGTAATAATAATGATTACATTTGCTAGTTGGTTCCAATGAATCCGCTAGCAGATTGACGCCGAGTTTTGAATTCGAATCGGAAGATCAATTAGTATATCCACCAGCGGGCTCTTTTTGCTACAGCGGGCCCGTGCAGCCCGCTAGTAAAAGGGCCCGATATTTCTCAGACCGCTGATGATACAGTCCGCGAGCATGTTTCAGCTCGCCGGGCTATATGACATATATACTTATAGCCTGCGAGAACGATCAGATACAATCTAGCAACGTGTAGCTAAGTGTACTGTGTAGCATCTTAAACTGACGTTAAACAAACAAACACGCTACAAACTATACAAACACACAAATTTTGCGGCTTGAAAGTTAAAGCTAATTTACTAATAGTTATATTATTAATGAACTATACAAGGCACAACAGTTGGCACATGTACTAATTTAACATTATGATGATTGATACACGGCGGCTACAGCAGTATCACTGTTTTGTGTTTACCATTTTTATATAAATTGCTCACTATTTCAGTTGATAAACCTTGAAATTTTAGGCCAAAATTTTACGTGTAATTCTATTGTGTTCCCAAAAGATATTTTGCCCAGATTTTTGTTTTGAAACTACCACTAAAATTTATGTTATCAATTTGATCTTTTACTCTCATATTCAATATCCACGATCAGACTGCGATCTCCAGCTCTCTGGGTTACTATTGTAGCCTAAGTCTACTCCTTTTGTGGGATAACCTGTAAGCTGAAGTAGTTTTTTATATTAATAGACCGGGTTTGTACTTGTAAATATATTGTGTACCGAATAGAAACTTACCCTGTTTTGACACCGCCAGTAAAGTTATGTTTTTGCGAATTTTACGTTATACTCTCACGTTTTCTCCGTTTCAAACTCTCCTTTAAAACTTTAGTCGTATATGCTTACAGTTGAAAAATCAAAAACTCACACTATGCAGCAAGTGCCTATATCCTGATCGTTTACATTGAAATATGTACATGAAACAATGAGATCAAACATTGTTTGATAATGTCCAGTTTTTCGTGGGTTACTTTATTAATTTATTATATTTATGTTCTATTATAGTCAGTCATTTTGCCCTATATCGCACGCGCGATGTATATATACTATTACTATATTGAATAAATTATAGTGATTTCTATAGTTTAAACTTAAAGTTCTAATGACCTTGCTCATTGTAGCGCATAATGAACAACTCGGTCATTCCTACGAACGTCACTGAAGTAGAAGGAAATCAGGATCTTCTTAACACAGTAGGATTGGTAGCATTTGTACTTCTTACTGTGTATGACTTTGTTATGCTATTCCTGGGTAAGATTTGTGATCAAAATGCGTGATTCATTATCTTTCGCTCAAGAAAGTTGTTAAAGAATTTGTTGTTTCTCTATCAGCAAATATAAATTTCACCAAACTTTGATTAAATCATCTCATAAAATTTAAGAAGCTGATAAATAAAATCGCTCTATTGTACTGATATGATCATTTTTGTGTCACTTGAAGTTCGATACAAACACTCAGGAACGTTTGGAAATTCTATCATTCTCTACGCTTCAATAAAGTTCAACGCGATAAACCTAGACAAAGTCTCGCTGATTTTTCTTAGGAACATTGCTGTAGTCGACATAGCCTGGACCCTTTCTACCACACTGACTATTTGTGTTTCGAACTCGTGCACTAATCAGTGGTGTCTAGGTATTATTATATGTCACAGAACAAAATAATTAGGATGATATTATTCTGGACACTATCATGAGCTAGTTGCAAAATTGGTTAGCACGAAAATTGAATTTGTAAAATCTAAGTATTTTACTATATCTAAACAATTCCAAATTTACTTCGGTGAAATTAAATACCCATACTCCCTATTAACATTCAGTAACAACTGCTCAAATCGCAGGTAAAGCCGTGTGTGGAATAGTTGCGTACCTACGACACCCCTTTGCAGCTACAGAGATCCTCCTCATATGTTCGGTTTCCTGTCACCGTATCTTTACTATAAGACAGGCACTAAGAGCTGCAACCTTCACCACTTGCCACGCGTACGTTCTCACTACACTCACCTGGGTCCTACCTCTGTCTATACTTGTCCTCAGTTTTGTATACAATGTTGGCGCGAAGTTTGACCCTCTGCTGTCCACATGCGTTAGTCTGATCATTTATCATGATGATCCTGAAGTTAAACGTTGGGTCATGTTTATGACGTTCTTGCTTGTGATCATACCATTTATCATGACGATCCTCTCCAACCTTTGCATGTTTTACTATGCTGTAAAACTCTCGAGAAGGCACGCAAATTCGTCCTACAGACGAGCGTTTTTCACAGTATTTGCCATTTGCGGGACATTTGTAGTTACATCCCTCCCTAACATGCTCAGAATACTTCTCCCGCCCATTGGCAAAACTTCTCCTGTCTCCCTCGAAATTATCAATGGGCATTTATATATCATAAACGCTTCATGTAACTCCATAATTCTGGGTATCACAAACAGACGATTTCGAAACTTCGTAATGAAACGATTTTTAATGTGTGATGTTTTCAAATGCTGTTATTCAGAAGATAACCATGATTCTACGATTGTTTATAACAACACGATTAGACCTGTAAATAACCCCACAGTCAGTGTGGCAAGAATAAGATCCAATAGATCACCTACAAGTTTGAAGATTTGCAATAGGGTAAGAAGTCCTTCAGTGTCACCAAGATGCAGCCCATCTGTGTCATCTAAGTGCACCTCAAGACTTCGTCAGGAATGTGGTGCCAGCCTCAAAATCATTGATCCTACATCACCCTCCTTGATATCTTCAGGGATATCTAGAATCAACAATGAAGGAGTTGTTCTGCGTGGTCACAGCCCCAGTCCAGTGCCCGCGACGAGGAATAGATTATCTTTAGTCTAGAACATACCCCTATAAAAGGATCGTGAAGGGTCATGGATTAATTTTTGAAAACAGCCATTAGAAAAAACTGCAAGTCGACGAATGAAATTGAGTTGCAGTTAAATTTAAGAAGCATGATGCGACTTTCTATATGTTTTGACTTGTTTATGTTACATTTGTCATCATATCTACAATGTCAAGCTTTTTTAATGTCGAATCGTTTTATGTGCTTTAATTGAGAAATGACCTAAGATCCGAGCACGTAATTTTACTTACACAACTTCAATGAACACTTGTCATGGAACAACCCCAGTACCCTATAATAGTTGCAAAAGACCCAATTTCAGTAAATTCATTCATCGGTCCTTAAAGTTACAATTTGCATGTGAAATTAAAAGTATTTTCTAATTTCTAAGAATCTCGTCGATACTTACCTTCATTATTTCAAATAGTGAATCACTGAAAAACGGTTCATAGTAACAACAAAGTACTTTATCCCAAATGATGATATTGGGAACCTCATCAACACAATTAACAAGATTCTCGTTTAGGTTTTATGTTATGCTTATCGTAACGCTTATTTGAACAACAATATGTGGTTAGTATATTTAAGTTAAACGTGAATATAAAATACAAATAAGAATCAGATTAATTGAAGGAGGGGGGGGGGGGGGTTTAAACTTTTCTCTTCTATTTTCAACTGTACATTTTTATCCATGGATGATGGATCAAGGATCCCAGGTCGATCCTCCGATTGGGGTCCACCTCAAGGCACATTTCAATGAAGTTCACCCCTTGACTGTTGAGAGTCTTCTTGTCAACCTTCCACTGCAGGGATTCGAATTCTTGAACATCCTTCTTAGTATTAAATGGACAGTCTCCATTAAATAACACGTAGGTAAGACACCCGATGGACCACACACAAGCCGGAAATGGATCGTAGCACTTAAAGTGGTAGTACTCTGGAGGTAGATAAACGTCCGTCCCTTGGTAACTTCTGTAGGAGTCTGTTGTGAGGATCGATGCGGATCCAAAGTCGATGAGTTTGATCTGCCTTGTTTTATAATTGTACAGAATATTTTCGTCTTTGATATCCCTGTGATCCACCCCTTGCTGGGTCAGGTAGTATGCAGCTTCGATAATTTGACTGATAACGTTGGCAGCATCTTTTGAATTAAGACGGCCATTCACGTCTACAAAATGAAACAAATCATAAGCGTCAGGATCATAGTCTGTGACAAGGTACCAATGTCTACTGAAGCTTTCGTAAAATACATCGTTGAGGGAAAGGATGAGAGGATGAGAAAGGGGCATCCAAAGTGCAACTTCGTCAGGCACATCGCAATCACGAGTAGGGCAGTAAGTTTTACGCCTGCACTTCGCTTCAGATATAATCTTCACGGCACTCATCTTACCGGGCCGCTGCTTCTCCTCGCATGCCCACACCATACCGTAACCACCGCTCCCAAGATGTTTTCTTAGGTTGTAGTAACTGTAGAATGATTCGTCGGTCATCTGGCTCGGAGTCGCGATCCCTAATCCTGATTTTCTTTTGGTGTTCATTGTTGACGACAACGCAACAGCAGATTTGAGAAACGCTAGATGGACAAACGATTATAAATTCGGATGCAAAAGTAGTAAGATGACAACACGATACCTGTATACATCTTTATACACTGGTAAATAAGGCGGGGAATGCTGATTAGGTAATTAACGGTTGAAATTCATCGGACTTTACGTGCAATTGGATCCAATGATAAAATACTTCCAACATGAAGCCCCATAGTAGTTAAATTAATGAAGTTTGACAGTCTCAATTAGCTAATTAGCTAATTAGCTAAATAGCTAATCAGCTAGGTTTCCAGCCCGACGGATCAGATTACGGTGGCTTAAGTGTGAAACGTGGTCTTAAAATTGCTGAACTGCAATACCTTACTGTTGTTAAGGTAGAGTTTACCAATTATCCTCATTCTGAACGTCATGATCCATGGATGCACTTGCAGAGGAGGTGCTGGGATGTTTCTGCTTCTCCTGAAAAGTGTTCACAATCTTGCGTCTCGAAGTTGACGTTGTTTGCCACGTTCTGAAAATAAACTAGTGGGCTGTGACCTATCCTGAAAGCGACCATGTAAGCCATCTGATGTGAGATCCAGAAAAATTAAAGTTCCTGTATTTATATTTGTAGAGGAACATCTCAAGTTGAATGTTCCTTTGTCACTGAGTGTGGCCTAATTGGGAGGAAGGGTTCTGGTCCTATGGGGATGTTGTTGGATTGATCGTCCCTTGCGAATTCGTCCGTTAGTTCTTTACCGTATATTCCTTCATGTCCTGGAACGAAGTTCTACTCGATGAGAATACCTAGTGAGTTGAGTTGGTCTGAGATGTTCAGATCGAACTTGGAGTTAAAACTGGTGCTGTTAAGCGCTTTAAGGGGACATACACCAAAAGCTTTTATGCCCTGGCCCTGCTGTTAACTTCATATTAAGAAAGTATACATCAAAACAATAAGATTTGATACATTAAAAATTATTTTTGAGGACCCGGAAATTTTGAGAAGTCTGTCACTGTAATACCGATATTTCGGTCATTTTAAAAGTCTTTTGGCTGATTTTTTTACTGAAGATTACTTACAATCCGTACAAGAAACCCCTAAAAGGATTATATAATTGAACCATAAATGACGAAGTTATAAACCAAGTAAAATTCATCGTAAAAAGGGCCAAACATGGCAGATTTAAGGCTTAAAATGCCATTGTTGTTCTTATACTAGTTATAACATTGTATAAAAGATTGTTTCAGCTGATTAGATCTGTAAAAACTTGTCAAAACAACTGATATTTATCATTTAGGATTTAAAGTTAAAATCTGCCATGTTGGCTTAATTAACGATGAATTAAGTGTTTAGACATTTCAACTAAAACCAAATGACGAGATCTGATTCAAAAGTGGATATGATTTCAGTACCTCACAAAATTTGTGAATGCATTATCGTTATCTTATCTGGTATGTAATATCAACTTTGATTTCAATTCAATTTTGTTCTACCTGTTTCGTTTTAAATTTCGTACATTTATTTCATTATTTAGGGCTAGTCGGATTGTAAGAATTCTAAAAAATTGCCTAGACTTTTAAAATGACCGAAATGTATTACAGTACAGGACTTACTACAAAATTCGGGCCAAAAATAATTTTTTGTATCAAACTTTTTTTGAGTATACCTAAATGAAGTGTAAAACCAGGCATAAAACGTGATATAACTGATAAAGTATCAGTTTTTTTGAAATAATTTTTACAGAATCGTAATCAGCTTGAGAAGACGAATCTTTTAGTACCAAATAGGTGATTTTATAAGACAAATTGTCTTAAATAATTTTCTAGCTCGAACACGAGGGTCCCCCCTTGTATAAATTTTGTACAAATTGTACACATTTTTTTACAAATTTTGTGTCTTTAACTATTATAAATTTGGTACTAAAAGATTCGTCTTCTCAAGCTGATTACGATTCTGTAAAAATTATTTCAAAAAAACTGATACTTTATCAGTTATAGGCATTTTAAGCCTTAAATCTGCCATGTTTGGCCCTTTTTACGATGAATTTTACTTAGTCGTTTGAGGCCACATTTCATACCTTAAAACTCAAAATTGAGAGAAATCCTGTTCCAAAAAGTTGGATATGATTATCAGCTACACTCACAAGAATTTTTGAAGCGATATCTTATGACCTGGGTGAATGGTAAAATATACAACTTTGATTTTTACAAAAATTTCAATTTTGCTTCTCTCGACCTTGTTTGGTTTATAACTTCGTCATTTATGGTTCAATTATATAATCCTTTTAGGGGTTTCTTGTACGGATTGTAAGTAATCTTCAGTAAAAAAATCAGCCAAAAGACTTTTAAAATGACCGAAATATCGGTATTACAGTGACAGACTTCTCAAAATTTCCGGGTCCTCAAAAATAATTTTTAATGTATCAAATCTTATTGTTTTGATGTATACTTTCTTAATATGAAGTTAACAGCAGGGCCAGGGCATAAAAGCTTTTGGTGTATGTCCCCTTAAATGCAGCCTGGGAATCTGAGAGGAATTTATGATTGATGGAGATCCTATGATATCATTAGTCTAGATACTTGCCATGTGTAACGAAAATAGCGGGTACGATTTTCTCAATGAACCTGAAGAAGGAATATCTGTCCTGAATTGATACCATGTAACGTCGAGCTAAAAAATGTATCAAAAGTTCGAGTAAATCGTTAATCGTTAAACGTTGTATGTCCTATTTTCATCCCCTAAGCATTGCATTGATGTTTATTCCTGGTCCGGTTAGCTTTGCGTCTCAGAACTAAAGAGGTCCACTATGCTTTGGTGAGCTATGCTGTCCACCAGGGTACTGTACATCTAAGGGTTCCCCGTGTTATGGGGCAGGCTGTGATAAAGCATCTCTGCAGGATGTCCGAGATGAACTGTTTTCGAGTGTTGAGAACTTCCGCTGTAGAAACTGAATAGAACCAGTAAGGGTGTCAGTCAAACTCTGCTGCTACTAGATGATTGTAGAGCGTCCAGTCACACTTCAATAAAGGGTGTGGCAAAGCTAACCCAGTCCCCCTGAAAAGTGGTTACTGGAGGAAGAAGTGCCAGGAATTGTCGCTATCAGTGAGTCCTCGTAGTCAGAGTTGAAATCCCTAATTCTGTCTTATCACGAGCCTGTGTCTAGCGTGTGTCAGCCCTTACGCATTAGCTGTCTTAACTGAAAAGACCTGAAAAGTAGTTACTGGAGGGAGAAGTGCCAAGACTACTCATTATCAGTGTGTCCTTGTAGTCAGGATGAGCGAATTGGAATCCCTAGCTCTGTGGTGGGTGACTTCGATGGGACCTGATATCTAAAAAGCTAAAAGAGAAATTTCCTGGTGCTTGGTAGCTGTAAGTGTTGACTTCCTGGTTCCTATGGGAACTTTGAGTTGGCAAGTCCCAACCTTTGTACTCAACAAGAGAGCACACCACCGGTTAGTGCCAACCAGGCCACACCACGTAGAGGTTCGGAGAGGATTTCGTGACCCCGCTCAGCCTGCCATTCCCCAATCCCCAGGCTATTATATTTATGTTCATTCCAATCTCTATGATTATGAACATAAGTATAATAGCCAGGTAAATAGCCTCACATCATGGCAGCTGTGGACGACACGGAGATTGACAGTATTATGTTTAAAGCTGAGGATAGGATGGAAAAAGTTATGAATCAGTTCGGTTGTGAAGCACCAGTTGACATGACTTCTGTATAGTGCAAAAGAAAAGTTTGCAGCGTTTCTGTCAGAATCGTTTCATTTGGTTCACTTTCAAAATGACAAGTTAAAGACGATGAAAAATGGACTGGGCTCAATCAAGAATCAGTTGATTGAGAATCAGAAATTGGTTATCAGCGCTCAGGAATCAATAATTGACTGCAAAGAAAAACAGTTACAGAAACAGTTGCAGGCAGTGCAGAGTGCAGACCGTCGTTAAAGACACAGTAGAAAGTCAGTTTAAATCTTACAGCGATGCAGTTCAGGAAAACGTCATGGTTTGTCAACCTGAAAGCTCAGTTACCCCCGAGGGCCGAGACTTTGAACTTTTGAAGGAAGTCGTCAAGTTTGTGGTGCAAGCAGAAGACCGGAGCAAGAACATCATGATTTTTGGTTTACCGGAAAATTCCAGTAAAGACTTGAACAGAACTTTCGGAGACATATTTGAGGAGATTGGACTGAAACTAGCAATGGAGCTCAGTAGAGTTGGCAAGTCGAGGGAGAAAACTACTCGGCCAGTCAAGGTTACTCTGGCCAGTTCCAGTACAGCCTATCAAATACTCAGTCAAGCTCGAAAGCTGCGACAATCAGAGAAGTTCAGCTCAGTCTTCATTAGTCCTATCCAGACTGCTCATTGAAGGATCGAGTTGAGGATAGACTTCTTGTTCAAAACTTGCAAAAGAAGAAGAACACTGAGCCAAACAAGCACCACTACATCAAAGGAAGGATAATTCATACTGACGACAAATCAGAGAGATGAGTGTGGCTTTTACTAGAGTGTATTTTCTTACAATACATGTTTGTAAGAGGATGGGGAATTGTCCCGTTGGGATAAACAAATTTGTTTGTTGAGTCATTCATTCTGGCCGTTGTAACATACAAAACTTTAAGTTTTCGCGATATTATTTTCATTGACATATTTGACAAATTACAACGGCGAATTTATGATGAAAGATGAAACGCTGAATGTCCTACTAACCCGACTCAACAAATATCAACAATTAAATCTATTCAGATTTAATTGTTAAAGTACTGTCTCCAATAAAAATCAACACGCGCATGACTGCGCGTTCCCATGACAACAAGTAAATAGGTCGCGCAACGGCACGTGCATTTGATTCAGTGGTCAGTTTTTACATAGTTTGTTTCATTATATTATTCGAGTTTCAGAAAGAAATTGTTTGTTCAAAAACGTAAATGGGATTAGAAACTTTGTCAAAATGACGTCAAAAAGTGGAAATGAATCAGATTCACCGACGACCTCAGATATTGGACTTACTTCCACTCACGTGCCAAAGCCGAGGGAGAAGATTCCTGGGTATATATTTGGAGATGTCATAGGAACTGGAGCTTACGCTAAAGTGAGACGATGCTACTCCGAAAAATTTAAAAGCCATGTAAGTGAATGACTTCTAATTTCATATTATTACTAATTTGAACGTAGCATTATAAGATAAGATTATAAGATTATACATAGAGTTTGGAATTAACCATTTTGTAAGTTGCATCTTTACTTCGTTTGATCGATTGACTACTCAAATAAGTTTTGAAATCTACCTCAGTGATCAAATATTTTAGGTCGCTGTCAAAATCGTCTCCAAAAAAAGTGCCCCCAAGGATTACCTCACAAAGTTTCTGCCACGGGAGATTCAATGTATCCATAAACTGCGACATAAGAACATAGTGCGAGTGCTCGAAATATTGGAAACAGAAAGAAGTATGTACATTGTAATGCAAGAAGCTGAAAAGGGCGACCTCCTCGATTTCATCAACGCCAATCAAAGGAAAATCGCCGAAAATGATGCCAAAGCTTATTTTCAACAGATTTTGGAGGCTGTGGAGCACTGTCACGTTAAAAATATTGTCCACAGGGATCTGAAATGCGAAAACATCTTATTCGACAAAGACATGGTGTAAGTTAAAATCTGAGTCAACTGCGTTCCTAATAGTAATAATAATTTAACCGCCTATATTAATATAGTTACCGAGTACTGCGGGTCTACACTTGCTACATGGCAGCAATGTGACCTAAACCTGCTATAAATATATTATTTAGCAGTAGCACCGCAACCAGCAGATTGTGCCACCGTCAGGCGTTTTGTTCATGCAAACACTAAATGACCATTAAAGTTCTACCACGCTTGTAGTTAAACGATCCCTCTTATTTCAGAATAAAGTTGTCTGATTTCGGATTTGCCCGAACTATTAACCCTGAGAGTGTCCAATTAAAAACACACTGTGGCTCCCTTGCCTACGCTGCCCCCGAAATAGTAAAAGGAAAGGACTATGATGGCCGCATCTCTGACGTTTGGAGTTTGTAAGTTACTGTCCCAATTAGTCATATCAAAAATCTGGAACTGAACAGGAATGAAACATAAATCGGTCAAGGAGAGCACTAGCACTCCTGTTTTGACTCTGCTACATATATATAATTATATATAATACATATGTATGGTTTTTGTTTGGGTTTCCCCAGTTGCAAGAGTGTTTAAACACTGACGATTGCATTCGTTTCGGATAGCATGAAACATTTAATTTCAATTGTATACAGCTCCCTCAGCTCCGGGTAGAGCACTCTTGCAACTGGAGAAATCCGAACAAAAAGCCCATATATACAGGGGGGGGGGGGGGGGGGGGGGGGGGGGACTAAAAGTCAGTACCCATACGTTGGGTCTTATACCACAGCCGTGTTTTAAATTTAGGAGTTGTTGCTTTGCCGATGGTATACTGTTCGAGGATTACGTCGCCAAAATTTGAAAATTCGGTTTTTAGGGGCCACACCCAATCAACATTGAATTGCTTATACTCGTGTTTGCGAACATGCTAGAAAATTCGTTGTAACATATTGCAATAGGTAATTAAATCCGGAATTTGATCTGAAAAGATGTCGCCAAACGGATTTAAAATGACGAAGTTATCAATCAATTTGTTTATCTCGTTAGCAAAATTTATTGGGTACTCAATGATTACCCAATTACGACACCGTAATGGGGCTCTCTGCACGATTCACATAATGTAGATCTAACCTCAACCCAATCACCTGATCACACGTAATAAACAAACTCGTTATGCTTCATATCTTGGTCATCTGAGAAGCTAGAACTCTCATTTTTTTCAGGACAAACGTAATTTAAATGGCTAAACACAATTCAATAAAATTTGGCTCGATCCGATGGTCCAAATTATCAAAATTCGAAAATGAACCTTCATTTGAAAAAATTTACACGAATATTTTTCGATTTGACAAATTCCTCGAACCAGTATGGTAGTAAGTCATACAAACAAAATTGTTTCAATTGGGTACTTCGTGACTAAGCTATTAAGGCCAACGTATGGGTACTTACTTACTTTGGTTACTTTGGTTGTGTTTATCCTCGTAGCAAAAGTACCGGCACTAAAAGTACCGGCACAAACTAAAACTAATTTATCGAGCCCGGTTCGAGACTATAAGTTCATCGATTGACTTCAAGTGCGACTTTCAGTATCACAGTCACATGATCATGCTTTTATCAATACAACGGTACTGATAGACTGAAATAAAATATAACGCGCAAACTGCAAAATATATTAGCTTTCGACACAGTTTGCAGAGAAGCTCTCTTATACAAGATTTGGCACTTAGGAATACAAGGCCGATTCTTCAGCTATTTGAAACACATGTATACTAACTCATCAGCGAAAATTAAACTCTTGGACAAACTGTCAGAAAGGATTGATGTTCTTTGTGGCACAGAACAGGGTCACCCAATGTCTCCTGAACTTTTTAAGATATTTATCCATCAGCTTTCTGAAGACCTTAACGAGCAGGAAGAAGTTGAAGTGCCTATCATCAATTCGACACGAGTAACTCACTTACTCTTGGCTGATGATCTAATACTGCTTTCCCTAAATGCGATGAGTCTCCAGAAAATGCTCAGCACTCTCGAATCCTACTGCCTTGATTGGGGCTTGTCAGTTAGCATATCTAAAACAGCAATCATGGTTTTCAACCGTGCTGGGAGGATATTAAAAGAATGCAAAAACTTCACTTACGGCCAAATATACATCTCCTCTGTCCAAGAATATACCTATACTACCTCGGCATAACATTTACTCTTACTGGAAGTCTGAAGCTAGCACAAGTGAAATTGATGCAGAAAGCTATCAGAAGCTACTTCTCACTCAAAAGTATGATTGACCTGCAGTCAATTAAGAAAACTGTGATATTTAAGCTTAGTTCTTCCTATCGCCTCTTACGGTTGTCAGATATGGTTACCCCAGACCAAATTCATGACGGCATTCTCTTCCCGGAACAAGTTCCCTCAACTCAAGGAAATTGCCGAAGATCAGATCGAGAAAGTTCACTTCTCCTTCCTAAAGTGGACTATAAGCGTCGGCAAAAGAACCTCCAATGCAGAAGTGTGGGGTGATACGGGTCGATACCCTCTTGCTATTGAGGCCAGTCCCCAAGTATTTAACTCTTTAACTATGTTCGAAGACTAGAAAGCATGGAAACTTCCGTATCGGAAGCACTTGTTCGACATGCATTCACAGAACAAAAGAAAATGGGCCTATCATGGTACTCTGGCATTACGTCTATGAATCAATTTCTGGCAGAAACGAACGAAAGGCAAAAATCACCCATTCAGATAAGAGATGTTCTCCGTTCTTGTTTTAGAACGCAATGGGATGAAGAGAGACGGCTCAACAGAAAACTTGGGTTCTACAATTCGATTAAATCAAGTTTTGGTTGTGAAAAATACCTCTCTCTCTATCTTCCATACAACCAGTCAAAAAGACTAGCCCAAATAAGGACTAGCTCTCACCGCCTAAACATTGAAACGGGACGCCATGGACATGTCAGAAGAAACAACATCCTAAATCGTATCTGCGCTACATGTTCCACTAAGGACAAGAACACTTTGGAGTACATGGCAGAGTTACCCTTCTTTGATCCCATAATAGAAGATGAGGTTCATGTGCTTAGAACCTGCCCCTCTACCAAGACAACAGGGACCGCCTTAGCCCTGAAGTTAAAACCAACCTCTTCGAGGGAAAGCATCTCATATTCACTCAACCAAAGCTTTTAAAAGAGATTGCTAAATTTTTAGTTAATATAGATGCACTTCGTTTCCCGAGAGACTTAGCTTAAATTATAGTATATGTTTCTTTAGGTTTTTTGTATCTTATTTCTATGTTATGATTTCATTCTTGTATTGTCAAGCCAGGAGTGTTAGGGCTTCTCTTGACCAATTAACGTTTAATCCGTTTAATACAGGGTGGCCCAGAAGAAACTGTCCACACACAACCCTTTAATAACTCACACAAGATTTTAAAAGGGTCATAACCCGGTAAATTGTGAACAACCATCTTGAAATGTTGGGACAGCACTTCAATCATCAAACCAAATGTGTCTAGAAACTTTGGAGTTCCTACTCCTAGCTGAAGGCGTTCTCGCTTTATGGTGACAATAGTGAAAAAAAATGGAGTGGCGTGCCACACCCTTTCTAATCAATGGAATTTTACGAAACTTTCAGGAAATTTAAGTTTTACCTATATCTATATTTTCTGGAATTTTTGTACAATTCTGAAACGAATTACGGGGGGGGGGGGGGGGGGGGGGGGGGGGGGGGTGATTCGGAATCAGTGCAAATCAGTGCAAAAACCTGTCTCGATCACGTGATATGACCATATAAGGAAATTGGCCTGATCACTGTTATCTCGATGGGGATAGGGTTCCAGTATATGCTTCGGTTAGGGATTGGGTTAGGGTTAGGGTTGGTATCAGATTAGGGGGTTTTAAATAGTCATTTAGAGCCACCTAGAAGGCGTCTTAAAAAAGTCACGTGACAGTGATTAATCATCATCCCTTAATCTTATCCCCTCCAATAATTTTAAGAATATTACAAGTTCTTTCCAGGGGAGTTGTTTTATTCGCGATGGTGAATGGAAAACTTCCATTCAATGACACAAGTGTGAAAAACTTGCTAGCCGCCATCAACAAAGGAATTACGTTTCAATCAAACGTTTCAGAAGGTCAGTTACCTACCTACCTTAAAGTTACAGTCGAAATTTTAATCTTAAACACAATTGCATCATTTCACTTTGCTATTATATATGACATGTGGTTAATTTGACCAGTGCCACCGCCACTTCATTTTCGTCGTAACTCAAATTTTAGCTGTTTTTAAGCCAATGCCGTTGCGATACTGGAGGCCCATTTGACGACAAATTGGGGAATCCGAATAGTCGAATAGATAAGCATGGGTTTGCGATCGCCCCAAGGCCCAACATAATTCTGATAGTCTATTCCAGCGTGTCGGGACCTGATCACGGCGATGTTGATGACGGACTGCGCAAGAAGGGCAAAAATAAAAGATCTGCTAAAGCACTCCTGGTTCGACCCTGACGCCTCATCGACATACAGAAACTGTCCAACTCCGTCCCCTAGAGAGGTAACATTAAAAATGTATTATCCATGAGATTGATTTATGATTTAACTAACTGTCACCAAGATGTAAATCAGATCGAACGAGAAATTAGAACGAACGAGAAATTAGATTGAGACGCCGTTCGATATAATTTCTCGTTCGATCTAATTTCTCGTTCGATCTAATTTCTCGTTCGATCTAATTTCTCGTTCGATCTAATTTCTCGTTCGATCTAATTTCTCGTTCTATCTGATTTACATCTTGGTGACAGATAGAAAAATTCTTGAACGTGTATCACTATCAATCTGATAAAATATTATATCGTTGTTTTTAAAAGGCAGTTTACCAGGGTGCTGTTGCACGCGACGAAAAACATTTTATCAAGACCCCCAACCCATCCCCGATGAACACACCAAGAGGGACCCCTGAGTACCAGCAGCCAATGGATGTTACCCCCGGCACTTCCCCTTGCAGTACCCCTGGACCTTATACAACTGCTGACGAGGGCTCCGGAGAGTTTACAGGTCCAGCAAGCGAAAAAATGTCAGTTCAAGAAGTCTAAGGTCGGCTTATGTAAAGGTGAGATGCAACAGCTTAAAATCGATCTGCAGGCCGTCATATTCTATTTGTAGTCCTAAAAACTACCTGATTGGCCAGCAAATTTTTGACGTTGTCTTTTTCGGTTTTCCGGTCATTGGTCATGGCAATTACCTCCAATATTGCCACGGCCACCTTTTTTGATAATGTGATTCATTTTCAATTTATACTTCATTTATAGAATAGTAAATAATTACGAGCGTGCTAAATTAAAATCACCCTACACTCGATGACGATATTCGAGATTTAAAGTTGAAACCAATTTAAATCGATGTATTCTCGGACGCTGATTCCGAATCACCCCATGACATCGGTCACGTGATTTGACCGTATAAGGAAGTTGGTCTAATTTCTCGTTAGGTTAACTTTAAGGTTTCAGCATATGCTTTTGTTAGGGATTGGGTTGGAATCAGATTAGAGGGTTAGGGTTTCGAATAGTAGTTCAGGGCCAGCTAGAGATCGGGTCGAAAACGGGTCACGTGACAGTCGAGTGTAGAGTGATTAATCATCATCCAAATAATTATTTGCCACATGGGAGTCGAGTGTAGCAGTAGAGTGATTAATCATCATACAAATAATTATTTGCCACATGGGACGAAAATTTAATGAGAGATTCACAAATTAGTGCCTCTTGAAATCGTTAATTTTTAATGTTCTACGCTTACTTCTCCATTTCAGACTAAAAAGATTTTAGAACGGAGAAGACTTCCTCGCATCACATCTATACCATATTTACAGATTTTAGTTTTTGAAAATCTACAGTGATACCTCACATTAGTTTCAATTTGTCCTCAGTACATAAATAATCACTATCAGTTAAACACAAATTTCTTCAAGATAAATAATAAGTACCATTCATGGAGGATTATTTCCAATTTCACAAATAAAATTTTATCAATCACTTTAGTGAATTCAGATAACAGTAGGGTCGGGTTTATCTCGATTATATTGTAAGCATTAAAATCTATATTGATATACCAATAAACAATCTTACAAATAGGATTATAGAACTGAGCAATACAATTCGGTAACACTAACAAGAGTTTTTGACTAATACCATAAACTGATCAATTCTGAAATGGCTCCCATTTTAAAGAAGGTTAAAACTTTGTTACCATTTCATTTTTATCAACTGCATAAATGGTCCGGGCTTAATCCACCGTCGGAGTCAAAACTAGTTAGCCCATAAAATTCCAGCCCAGTTCAACAGGTGATTACTATGTCAGTAATGATCAGATTCACCATTGCCATGAGTCACTTCTCTAAACTCCGCTCTGCTACTAGAGTATTTTAGCATATCTAGAGTTGCAAGTTCTTCAATCTGAAAAAAATAATAATTAAGTATTAATTACCAACTACGAGCTCGTAATAATAATTAAACAAAATAATAACATTTGATTTTTGTTTCCTGAAAACTCCACTAGTGGCGTGAGCACGCTTGTGAGCACGCTTGTGGCGTGAGCACACTTATCACCTTCACCAGCCGTTCACATTTTTGATCTGATATGTTTGGGGTGGTTCACATACATATTACGTAATCACTGAGCTTGAGGGGAGGGGTGGGTTTCTAAATGATTAGTTTGATTAAGCTACTATAATTTTGACACAATAGCTATGTTATATAATAATTGTTAACGACCTCTTTTTAGTCGCGAAAATTTCCCAAAATATCGAAAATTAAAAATTCGAAGATGAAATCAAACTCAAAGTGTACGAGGCACTTTAATGCCCTCAGAAATGTTTTTCCAAAATGAATACCCTAACGGCTAACATCTTGGAAAACCTTAGAATACACTCTCCAATTACTCGCCAAAATGGCTTCGGCTATTTAAATTTACAGTAATTGTAAACCAGCCTCAGCAGCAGACGTCGGAAAAACCGCTATGACTGACTGTAAACAAGAGTCGATCTAAAATCTCGTCTGAAAATATCTCTACAAAATCCTTTACAATAGCTCCGCACTCAGGTGATCAGATTGGCTGCACGATTAAATATCAGAGTAAAGGCTTCTGGAGAACCGGTCTTCGACAGCAACGAAGCTGCCACTGTTTTTAATTTTATGAAAATTTACTGTTTTTCTTTTCACTTTTGTGCCGGTATAGTTTTTGCCATTCTACTACTAGTACTACTACTATCATATGATTACAGCATTCTTAGAATTTTGATTTAGGCGGAAATGAGGTAAAATAAACGTTAGAATAATGGTGTAATTTAATCAAAGTTTTACTGCGTCGTTGCTTATAGTCTATGTAATATGTAATAAGCGCAATGAGTTGAAATGCTGGACCGAGGTGGTCAAATAAAGAATTGTTTTCAAAAAGCAGGTATTACTGATATCAGATATGATGTTTTAAGCATGGAATATTTAATTGCAACCCATTTGAGGAAGATGACCTGTGATATGATCATCAAATCTGGTCATATTTCGTATCTGTTGTTTTTACACAACTTTCATAATCATAAACACAGATCTACAGATATTTTTACATTTTTCCTGTTAACGACTCCCTTTCTTGCTCATTCATATTGTATGACAAATTAATTTACTAATTATCTGCTAAATTTTTAAAACGCCAAAAAAAAGATGATAAAAATTTGGATTTTTTGTTTTTGATGGTTTTGAATGCCTTCGAGCGCTCATTTTAATGTCCGTTCATAATTATGTCATAAATTTGTCATAATCAGAGACAAAAAATGCTGTGCCAACTTATGGCGCTTATTGCATGTGCGCGAGCAAGGCAGATTAGCAACGCACGTTTTCATGTTTTATGATTTGTCATTACTAGCTCACATTTACCGCTCCCACTAAATCGCTCGCCCAAATTTTAAGAACATTCTTGTGAAAAGACTCTGAAGGTATCGAAGTAATCTTGTTCAGTGTATTTTTGGAAGCTGATTCCGAACCAAACCCCATGACGTAGGGTAAAAATGCTTCCCTGGAGAGTTATGGGCAAAAAACTGGTTTGGTCACGTGACAGGCTAGTAAAACACGAATATTATATAAGGGGTCAGATCATGTTACCAATTAGTGACGTATAATTAGTGATGTGATCCATCAGTCGAATTTAATTGTAGAGTTCACATGTCAATCATAATGTAAATCATAGCTGTCATACTCCGCACTTTTGATTTAAATTGACAAGTCGATAGACATTTTTTCGTAGGATAATCATTATCTGTCTGTTAATCACAGTGCTGGCAAGCATGACCGACGACCGTCAACATTACACTCACCATACTATTTACCCTCTATACTATTATACCCCCTTTACTGTTTTCAGGCATTAAGACTCACCGAAGGGTTGTGGTTAGGGTTATGGATAGCTTTGTGGTTATGGCTAGGGTTAGGATTGGGATTTAATCCCAATCCTAACCCCAACCATAACCCCAAAGCTAAAGGGTGTTTCGGTACATCGTAATCCATACATGGAAGATTATGAATGGACTAGCCCGAATGACATCAACATGCAGTTCGAAGAAAGCTCCGCGTAATTTTTTTTTATTAAATACTTTTCAAATTTTACAGAGTACAGCAATAGATGAATATAAAATAGGATCGTTCAAAATATCGCCCCCATCTGTAAAATATGATGGGCACCCAAACACGGTAAACACATAGTGAACTATGTCCGCAGTAACTTGGACCCATTACATCGAATTAATCTAAATCCAAAAATTTATGAAAAACTATTTAATAACAAACAAATCCATTTAATAACAAACAAATCCATGGTGAATAACTGTGGATATAGAGTCAAAATTTGTATTTCAATACGTCAAATTCCAGATACATTAGATACAGGTCTGAAATGGTCATTAATGTGTGAAAAGGTGTGCGGGTGAAGTGTGATATGATGTTAAAAGTATAGGAAGGTAGATACAAAAATTAATAAAACAAAAATAATAATAATATGGGGAGCAAAGAGACTAGGCTAGACTGTTGTTTCACTATCCAATAAACATTTCCATAGATGCTTAGTGACCTCAGCTTTGAAAAGACTAGTAGACACAATCTGTCTTACCTGTAAAGGGAGTCCATTCCACAGTATATGGGTTCTGTAGAAAAATGATTTTGCCAGTGGGCTATTTGAGGTACATGTGGTGTGTGAATTCTGACTTAACTTAGGTAAAATTGATGACACAATAGACAGACTGTCGAGGTGGCAACGTCTTAGTCGAGAAGTGCCCTGATATAAAGAGAGATAGTGAGGCAGCGATACAGGAATTAAATTGTTAAGAACTTTGTGGAAAAAAATAAGATCATTCAAGTCAAACTTTTGAGCCAAAGGGAGAATGTCGACAAGCTTGCACTTTTTGACATATTGCTCAGGTGGATAACTGCGGCCCTCTTCAGACAGAATCCATTTAATAGCTCTCTTTTGGAGACTTTCTAATTTATCACTAAGTGATTTATTACAAGGGCGCCAGATTATGGAACAATTTTCGAATTGGCTACGAACCAGGGAGAGATAAAGCGCCCGGCGACGTTTCTGATCAATGACAATATGGCCATCTCTTCTGACCATACCAAGTTGTTGGCAGGCCTTAGTATAAATTCTGTCGCACTGACTATTCCAACTTAGCTTAGGAGTAACATCGACTCCAAGATCTTTTTCTAACTCTACATACACAAGAGGAGAGCCATCAAGATTATATGCGAATGGAGGAGATAAAGATGGTTTTCCTGAAACAATAAGCACTTTACATTTTGCTGGATGGAATCGCATTTTGTTTCTTTGTGCCCAGTCAGAGAGATAGTCTATATCCATTTGTAAATTAGTATTATCAGAAGATGAATGTATTTTACGCCAGATTTTTGTATCATCGGCATACAAAACAATATCAGTATTATCCGAAAGGCCAAGAGGAATATCATTGATAAACAATACAAAAAGTAAGGGACCAAGAATAGAGCCCTGGGGGACACCAGAATTAACTGAGAGGGTAGATGACATCTCATTACCAATAACCACTCTTTGGTAACGGCCTTGAAGGTAATTGGTAAGAAATTTGAGAAGTGTACCATCAATGTTATATAAGGTCTTTAGCTTATGAAGAAGGATATCATGATTTACAGAATCAAATGCCTTAGCAAAATCAAAATACACAACATGATTGATAATGTTTTCGTTAAGAGACAATGCCAGGCTATCACAAAAGTCAACCATATTGGTTGTGCATGACTTGTGCTCTAGAAAACCATGCTGCCTGGGATCAAGAAGGGTACTTGTCAAAGAAAGCAGTTTACGTTTAACAATGCGCTCAAAAACTTTCATGACTAAACAAGTAAGGGATATTGGTCAGTTGGTCTATAGTTTTCAACCTCACTTTTCTTACCTTTCTTAAATATTGGGACAACATTTGCAAGTTTCCATTCTTGTGGAGTGTAGCCGCTGTTGTAAGATCCACGAAAAATGCATGTTAGAGGGTAAGCTAAACCTACGGAACAATTTTTGAGAATTTTACCGTGTATGCCATCTGGTCCCTGGGCTTTATTTGAATTAATATTTGAAAGAAGCTTACGAACATCCCGATGATCGAAGTCAATATCAAAATCAACATCATTGACATAGGAGATGTCAGTGTCATAAAGTGAAGGATCCGAAAACTGGTTATAAAAGAAAGAATTGAAAAGTTCAGCTTGAGCTTTGGGTTTGAACCGAAGCTGTCCAGAATAACTAACACAATTAGGAATACGGCAGGAGTTAGATTTATACTTAACATGTGACCAAAACTTCTTAGTTATAAGCGCTGGATCATCACTATTGAAAAGTCACTATAAAAGGCCACTGTGCCTGCATTTAATAAAAGGCACAATTGTCAACCTCGACCCATTATGAAAACTCGTATTGAGTAAAAGCAGCCAAACTATGGAACCTGCCCCCAAGGAAGTTAACACAATCCAATTTTTGGAAACTTTCAAATCCTCCCCTGCTTAATCCTTGAAAAGCTTCCCGGATACCCCGCCTCCAAAAGGGTATACCGCCATCGCAAATAACTCTCTTCTGGAATGGACTGAGGACTCTACAAAAAGATCTAGGCCAGGAGTGATTGGATGACGTACTTGATACTGTTGTCCAGAAGCGATCCCTGCCGAACCTACCTAAAGTAACCTAAAGAAAGTATTTTTGGTTTTTTATAGAATTTCGTATAACAGTGCTATTGCCTATTTTATGTAAATTTCTTAGAAATCTCCAAATAACTATTTTTTATTCCAGTCATCTTTGACATTGAATAAGAATGTTTAAACTTATAATCAACCTACCGAACGCATTCTAACGACTTTAATGCCTGGAAAAACAGTAAAGGGGTATAATAGTG